CAATTTTGTCGAAGTCGACATTTGTTGTTGTGCCCCATTCTGCTTTCTTTGATGTGTTTCAGATATTTGTGACAGAAAGATAGCAGCAAGATTGAAAGGGAAGGTTTACAAGATGACAGTCAGGCCTGCTGTGATGTAGTGTTCGTAGACAGTGGCACTGACAAAAAGGCAGGAAGTAGAGCTAGAGGTGCAGATGAGATTCTTCATTGGGAGTGATGAGGAGGTACAGAAATTAGATTTAATAAAGAAGAACATGCAGAGGGTTGGTGTGACAGAGGAGGATGCTTGGAATAGGGTGGAGGCAGGTTATCTGCTGTGGGGAAGAAAATGAGTGTGACTCATGATCATCTCATTTAGAGCTGAAATTACAATTAGAGTTGATGGAAATTAGCCTAAAAAAGACAATTTTATTCCTGTTTTTTTTTTTAAAGTTTAATAAATCTGTTTTTCCAAAATGTGTGTTTAAAATTTTCAGTATTGACCAAATATTCATGACTATGACTTTGAGATAAGCAAGCAGCCTTAATGTGTTTAACTCCAAATACTGGGGTGTGCATAAACACGTAAAACTATCTAAGTACTATTAAGACCTGAGTTATTATCATTTTTTAATTATATTTTTATTTTTTGTTTTCAGCTAACTTTCAGTTATTTCCAATTTTGATTGTGCACAGTCTAATTTTGTTTTCTAATTTCTTGCTTTGGCTCTCAGTGTGTAGCCTTCCCTGATGTCTCACCTCAGGCTCCCACTCACATCCTAGTCGTCCCAAAAAAGCCAATTGTTCAGCTCTCTCAAGCCGAGGATGACGATGCTGCGGTAAGTATCATTGTAATGACTTTTGCTTGTGAAATAAACTATAAACAATCTCACACTATCATTTCCCTGGCATATTTCTATCAGTGATCACTAGGGGGAACTATTTGCCTTTTTAATACTTTAATGCAAGTCATTCTTTCTGTGTGTCTCTTAGTTGTTGGGCCACATGCTGATTGTTGCAAAGAAGTGTGCTCAAGATGCCGGCCTTTCCAAAGGCTACAGGATTATCATCAACGATGGGCCGGACGGAGGCCAGTCGGTGTACCACATCCACATCCACGTTCTCGGTGGGCGCAGTATGGGGTGGCCTCCTGGCTAACGCTCAGCTTCCAGCACCCACCATCCAGCCATGCATATTCACATCTGTTGTCTGATTACCAGTGCTGTTAAATCTGATCAAGCCAAAATATATCTGTGGAATTAAAAGGCACATCACAACACCACTCGTGCTGGCTTGTCTTTATTCTTAAACCGGACATTTTTTTTTTTTTTAATAGAAAGCTTGATCGTGTTCTTCAGTGGGGTTAGCAGTAATGTCATTTACAAGCCTTTAACTGAAAGACGAGCAGTTGCGGTCAGAAGTCTGCATATAGTCATGATAACTTAATGATTCCTTTGCATTGTTCTTTTTCCAGGGATTGAATGATTGTACAGCATACCTGATTTTCTCTAATCTACACAGAGTCAAAACTGTACTGACAGGCTCAAATCTATACATACATAATCCTAAAGTGGTGCTGAAGGTTCTGCACTGTCCTTTAACTTGTTAATGCTAAGACTCCAAAGTGATCATGACTGATTACAACTAGTAGTTTGTCTTTGCCAGCATTAAAGGAATTGTTTTACAGCACTCATTAGATTGGATCCAGGTCTTCCATAAACTGGAAATTACTGGAACACCAGTACTACTGTCTTGAGAGGATGCTGATCAAGTAAAAAGCCCCTGCCTCAAAATTGACACCTTCAAGCTCAACTGAAATACGCAGCTGTCCACATGGACAAGCCAAATACCTTCTGGAGAAATGTTTTATAGTCAGATGAGACAAAGATTAAGAAATGTGGCCACAATGACAAAAGGTGTGTTTGGAGGTGTAAAGGTGAGCCTTTTAAACTTAAGAGTAGTGTACCAGTCAAGCTTGGTGATGGTAGCATCATGGTTAGGTCTTCACCTTAAATCAACAGGTAGAAGGTTGAAACTTGGACACAGGTTTTCCAACAGGAGAATGATCCCAAACTGTTTTTTAAAATGGATTTTATGGGCTAACATTACACTTCTGAAATGGCCTTCTGAAGTCTACACTTATAAACCCAGTCTGTGTCAGGAAATCACCAAATTTACCCAAGAGTGGTCAAATATCTGGCTGGAATTATGCCAGAAGCTTATTAATTGCTGCCAAAAGCACCTAGCCAAGGTTCAAGTTGCTAAGGGACATTTGTCCACAAATTAGCGGGAGTGTATTTGAGCTTCTGTGTATACTTTTGACCCTGTGTGGATTAGAGAAAATCCAAAATAAGTTCAAACTCGTGCATCCAATTCTTGTTCTTTAAAGTCATTAAAGATGTATGCTGTACAATCGCTCCACCCTGGGAAAAACAAAAAACAATTCAAAGAAATCATTAAAATGAGGACGCCCATGATGACTGTATGCAAACCTGACCACAACCGTAGCTCTCGTGGTTGAAAGGAGTGCAGCTGAAAGGATGAGGGATCGTTCCTGCTCAAAATGGGACTGTGGGACGGTTAGAGTGTGGGTTTCAGCTTTCTTATAAACCACTTTCCTAGACAACATGAGTAAAGTCATCTGTCACAAGAAAACCAAGGGAAAAATAAAAATATTAGAACCAGTCTGAGTTTTAGATCAATAGAGTGATTATATCTTTGGGCCAAAATAAAGCGTGCCCTCACTGGTTTCAAGGTTAAGAAAATAATTTAGTGTTATGGTTAGTGTTTGGAACTTGGTTGTAAGATTAATATTAGGGGTAAGAGGCTTGGGAATCCATTAATAAGAGAACAACTTTTAGCCAAAATATAAGAGGTACCCATTCAAATGACCTCAGCACTGCACTTATTCAGGCCCCCAGCCACAAACCTGACAAGTCTGAGAAGAGATGTGAGAATTCTGAATTTATTAGTGGGATAAATTGTATAAACCTCCTACATCAATTAAAAAGAATTGGATGCCAGGTACCATGTAAAAAAAAACTGATGTATTGTAGTTTGAATATAGTTCTTGTAGATTACAACAGCTGAACATGCAAATGTCTAACTGTTCAGGCATCACAAAGCGAGTAGTTGTATCATTTGCATTTTCAGTTGACGCACTATTAATGGCAATTCTACTCAGTAAAAATGATAGTTCAACTGACTGTAAAGGAGTTCCTTTTTTAAGGAGGAATAACAACAGGTTCCTCATTAATCAGTAGTGCTCACGTTACTTCTGTGCAGGTTAACTAAACCCCAAAAAGTAAAAGTGGGACAATTTGAGACGGGTTACTAAAACGGCTGAAACATGAGCATAAGCTCCAAATGTAAATACAGTGAGGATAAAAGCAAGTTAGAGTTTAATCCTTTAAATAACAACCTGTTTTTTCTTTACTGTTTTTTGTCACATCACTTTTTGAGTTCCAGGCTTCCTAGGCTCACCTTCCAACAGTCATGGGATGTTTCTCAGTTGTTACTGGAGATGCATTTCCTTTTCTTTGTGGTTAAGAGTCTGGGATAAGCCAGGTTTATGTTAAAAAGGGACTTGTTTATATACACTCACACGATCAAGGTGTGAATCAGAATGGGGAATAAAGGTGATTTAAGTGACTTCGAAGATGGAATTTGGTGCCACATGGGCTTTTCTGAGTATTTCAAAAAACTGCTGATCTACTGGGATTTTCCCCACATAACCACAACCATCTCTAAGGTTTACAGAGAATGATCCAAAAACAATATCCAGCAGTGGGAGTTCTCTGGGTGAAAATCCCTTTTTTTTTATGTCAGAAGTCAGTGGAGAAATGCCTGATTGCTTCAAGCTGATAGGAAAACAATATTAAGTCAAGTAGTTTCTCATTATAACCAAGGTTGTGGATTTGGAGAAGAGCATCTCTAGATGCACATGCAAACAACTGAACTAGGTGCGGTTAGTGCAGGACAGGAACTACAAAGACAGTTCTCACGGGCTCAACAAAAGACTGGAAAAATGTGGCCCGGTCAGATGAATCTCAATTTGTGGTGAGACATTGGGATGGTAGGATCAGAATTTGGAGTAAACATAAGAATGTGCCTTGTATTGGTGTAATGATGTGGGGGATATTTTCTTGACATCACAGCCTGCCTGAACATTGTTGATGACTGCATCTATCCCTGTGTCGCCACAGTATGCCCATCTCCCGATGGCTGCTTCACTGTAAAATCTAATTCGTTCCCAGAACTCAAAAAAATTGAGGAAACTCGTTGCCTCAAAAAAACTGAATAAAGCTTAGCTAAAAATGACTAAATTAGGACAACTTGTTTATTTTGAGTACTCCGTACAAGCTCATATGTTCCCAGAACTCAAAAGAAATTGGATTAAGTTTACGTAAGATGACCAAGTTAGGGCAACTTACTCATTTTGAGTACACTGTACAGCCTTGTTAGTTCCCAGAACTCAAAAAAATTAAGGAAACTCATTGCCTCAAAAAAAAACTAAGTAAAGCTTACTTAAGATGACTAATATTTCAAGTCTGCAGTATTAAGAATAACTTGATATTTCTGACTGTACAGTGCTAATTGTTTACCTACACTGAAAAAAAATTGGAGTGACATTTACTTAAAAAAAGCTAGGCAACTTTTTCCACACAGAAAGTGCTTGTAATCTTTACTCGGGCTATTTCTAAGTAATATTTACTTACTAGAACCATCTATTTTTTATGTGAAATACACAAGTAAATTGCACTGGCAATACTCATCTACAGGTTGTAACTTTTACTCAGAATACCATTGCATCCAATTACAAAACCCAAGTGAACATTGCTGATATTTCTTTGTGTTTCTTACTCATCTTTTCTTTGTTATATTCTATGTAATTATTAAGTAATATTTATTATGAATGTACTAGTTAATATTAATCGAATTGAATAAATATTCTTATTATTCTATTAAATAATAAATCAATATTTTCCAAAACAAATATTTGCAGCTTAAGAGACACTTATTTCACAGTTGAAATGGCATAGATATATTTAAAATATCTACATAACATTATAACCACAAAAAACATGGCCATAGAACTTCTTGATCGCAAATTTCAAAACAGAGCATATACACATATACAAAAACAAACAAACATGCTATTCAAAAACTCAGTGTGCACTGTCCCCTTTCTTCTAATCAACTTTCAGAACACATACATCAACTCTGTCCATTAACAGTTGCAATCACTACCTTTGCAGACATTCTCAGAACGTTCAGGACAGAAAGAACTTGTATAAAACTGAGCAACATTTGAAATTACTGTCAGAAAACAGACAAAATGCAAACAAATTAATTGTGCTGGACAAAAGCACAAATAACACTGGAACACTCACACTAAAAGTTTCTTGTGGAGAGACTGGACCTTTGGTGACATTTTAAGGATGTCAAGCTCAAGAAACAGCTTCTGAAATGCCTCAAACGTATATTTCAGTTTCAGTGGGTAACTTAAGTTGACAGCATAGATGACACCCATGAGCAGGAGGCAAGCGTTTGTCACACTTCCGCAGTCCTCCAGAATTTCTGTCCCCTCAATGATGACCGACACGTTCACAGGATCTTGGTTTTCCTGTGCCACATTGGGATGGATTACGATGATCTTCATCATGTGATTACTGCAGTCCTCTTTCAATGCTTCTTGGCTGACGTCCTCCTGTGAAAACAAACAAACCACAATTAGAAATAACTAGAATAGATTCCAAGTAAAAGAAAAGGTTAAGAGAAAAAAAATGTAAAAATAAAAAAGAGGTATACTCAATTTAGTATACTCAAATCAAACAATATTCATATGGCACTTTTCATACGTAAAGTTACAGAACGTGCTTCACAGAGGCTGACCCTGAGACAAAGAAAATCACTTTTGGGGGCCATCCAGCCTGGAGCTGTCCATGGGACGGCACGCGTGTTGGTAGACCAGAACCATTAAATCATTAAAATAGGTTATAAAGGTATAATCAAATTAAATACTCTTTTGCTCATAAAATAAAGTTAATAAGTGATCGTTAAATAGTCAGAAAAAAACCAGACAAAAGGCAAGTTAAAGTTTAAGGCAGATAAGATAAAGATTAAATATGATTTAAAAAATAAAGGGTAAGAGCATAAAGATTTAAGAAATTAGTTAAAAGCCTGATTGAAAATATTAATCTTGAGTCTTTTTTAAAAAACATCACGAGTGTAGAGAATCTTTGACCTTCAATATATCATCACAAGTGAAGACCAGATTATAAGGTTAGACAATTTTAATACAGTCATTATGATCATCAGATACCTGATGGTCTTTGATCAGCTCCTCTCCACTCTCTCCAAGATACTCAACTAAGCAACGAATGATAATGTCCCTTCTGCCATCGACATGATGCTATTAAACCCAAAAAGAAAATTTATTGCAGAAAATACACAACATAACATATGTAACATACATACATAACAGCACATACAGATGTAAACAGAAAGTTACCCATGGAGAATGTAAGCCTGCAGCTACATTCTAACGTTGTGAAGTGTACAACTTAACATGAATTTCTCAACGATGTGACAAGAGTCCAGTGCATGTCATAATCTGTGGGTCCAGAAACTGTCTCTGCCCAGTGAGGAAAGTTTTCTGCCTCATCACTGGACATGCAAATGAATTTTTTGCAACATCCTATCACAATATTAACCAGTCAAGGACAGGAATTCCCACACACAAGAGTAATATTTTGGGAAATAATTGTATTGGAGTCTATGGGCAGCAGGAAGGGATCTCGCTGCACTCAGAGGGTCACTTTGAAAATTCTGTAAATTTCTCTGCTTTTGAGCGCATATTAAGGGAGAGATGACAGGTTTGTATACACTTGTAGAGACAATCATGTGCATAAATTGTTAATTGTGGCCACAGTGTCAGGATCAGGAGAACAGTTTCAGCCAACACAGACACTGATCAGAATAAAGGACAAGTTCAGTATTTTACACTTAAAGCCCTGTTTTCAGTTTATGATGAAATCGAACGATTTTGATTGAAATTTGGACACATGCTGCTGGCCCGAGCTTTTTTGGTTTCTGTGGTAGCACATCCCCACCTCCACAATGGCTTCATAGGTGCACTGGAACAATCCTTCCTAAAATGCATAAAACTGTCGTTTACAAAGACGTGAAACTCACCGAGTGGTCAGAAGTGTTCACTGATATGTTCACACAAAAATCGCTGCAAAAGATACTTTCCAACTGGTTTTTATTGTAGTTTTTGTCCAACTCCATTGACTTGTATTAGATGTGCTGTGATGTACAGTATTAGTCCGCCGCTATTCCATTCTATTATTCAAGCTCTCGGCGGAAGAATGTACAGGTGTAAGGCGTTTGAAAAAATAGGTCCAGTTTTACAACAAATGGTAAAACACCTGTTGGAAAGCATTTTTGCAACGATTTGTGTGTGAACATATCAGTGAACACCCCTGACCACTCGGTGAGTTTCACGTCTTTGTATGAAGCCATTGTGGAGGTGGGGGTGTGCTACCACAGAAACCAAAAAAGCTCCGGCCAGCAGCATGTGTCCAAATTTCAATCAAAATCGTTCGATTTCATCATAAACAATCTGAAAACAAAGCTTTAAGTTTAAAATAACAAACTTGTCAACTTGTCCTTTAAATAAGAGTGATACATTCTCAGTGTGTATGACCTCATCTTTTCCATTAGATTATGTAATTAAAATAATTTAAAATTTTACCTTATTGAGTGAGTCCAACATTGGTTTTATTTTGGTCCCTGCAGTCCCGCCCTTCCTTCGAAATATCTCCAGGAGTTTGGTGGTGTACCTGTCCAATCTGGACAAAAACGTTCGCTCCAGATGGATTGTGGTTATTCGCTTAAACTCCTCTTTGATCTGAAATGAGAGATAAAACACAAAATCATGTCAAAGATGACTCATGAGATCTCACATACACTTAGTTGCTGCATGAACAAGAACTGGATTTACCTGATTTTCACAGAACAGAGAAGGCCACCTCTCTAAGAGGTCTTGGATTGCGGGGCAATCCTTGACAACCTCTTTTCTTCTCATAGCGAAAGACTTCTCCATTTTCTCATTAATTGCCCTCTCATTGTTCTTCTTCTTCATTTCCTTCAGCAAATCTAGTCTATCCATCTCTAAGGTTTCCTCAGTCTCACCGAATGGCAGTGGTGGCAGATAGTTGACTTCAGCTTTTTTTGCCCTTTTAAAGCCTTTAAGTGAACCCTCTTCACTGGAGCATCGTCTCTTCAGTGTGTTCACCTCGAGCTCTGGAATGGCTAATTGGTGACCTCTTAACTTTGCCCTGTAGTTGCCCATTTTATACTTTATCCTCTGTTGCCAACCATATAGGCCATTAAAAGAACCTGGCTCTTTGAGGCATGGGTATTTTGCTACCAAGGGTTCAGCAACAGCTAAAATCTGGACACCAGTTGGATATGCTGTGAAGCCAAATATAGTCTCTGCAAGCTTCTCAAGAATGCTACTAGTTACGCTTGGGTTGTTCAAAAGTGTGCCATCATTTTCATAAGCTTGCTTTCCTGCTTCCAGTGCAAGGTCTATATCATAAGAGAAGTCTGGTATTTCAAACTTAAATGGCCATGGCTTAGACCTGTAGGATGGTCCACTCTCATCTGGGGAGGACAACAGGATTGTGTCGCATGCAGATGAGGAGGAGCTTGCTTCTGTAGATAGTCGAACTGGAGATTCGACTTCTGACATGTCCACAGTAGTGAGACTTAAGATTACTGGTTCAGTTTTTACTACTTTGAGGTTAGCTTTATCTTGTACTTCCTCAATCGAGGTCAAAGTGAAGAACTGACCATCGAAATCCATGTCCTGGTACATAACAGTGAATGGTCCTGTAATATCAAATGTCTCTCGAAGAACATCATTGAGGTCCTGAAGTGTGCTTGGGATGCCTGCAGGTAAAAGTAGTTTGTGGACATCATCCTCCCCAAAAATTATCCGCAGTTTCGCTGAGGGTGCCATATCAACAGGAAGAAGCTGCAACAACAGAAGAGAAATACAGACATTTATTCACAAGCTTCTCTCCTCACATTTCAAAAAGATAGGCAAATGTGGTGCTTTAAAGTTGTCAGGCGTCTTCCTGCAAGGGTGTATGAAGCCAAAGGATAAAAATCTTTAAGCTCTCTTTGCTCAAGTAACTGCACACTCCCTGTGTTCTCCAGCTCATAACTCCTCAGGTGTTCATTGTACCATGTATTTTGTTGTCTCACGAAAAAAGTCAGTTTGTTACAAATCACCATTATCTGTAACACTTCAGAAAAGTCAGGCAGTCCTGCAGTGGAACCACAACACAACAACATTCCCACTGCATAGTTGGTGCCTAAACTGCACACATTATTGGCAACATGCACAGCTGTAACAGCAGGGAATCTGCATTTCACCAGGTCTTTTAGATCATCCTTAAGCACATCTAAAGAGACCTCTGTTGTTTTTGTGACCGCAAGTGATGGTTTGACAGAATGTGATTGATGATATGCAACCATGAGCTGGTGCTTATTTGCAAGAGACAGCAAAATATTCCTGAAACAACCAGTGTGTCTTACCACCTTCTTGAAAAAGCTGTGTTTGGCCTCGAATCTCATTGTCCAGAGGGCAGCTAGGGGGCCAAATTCCCGAATGAGCTGAGGATAGTGCTCAAGGAAATGGTGCTTGGGAATGAGCTTATGTTGGGGGAAAACATCAAGGAATCTGCTTCGGTGTTCTGAAATGATGCTGTCAAGATAGCAAATGCTTTCTTCAGTATGGGCTCGAGACATGACAAGGTCCACAATGTCTTTCAGTGTCATCAGCATCTGCCATACAGGCTCTTGTTGGGGTACTTTTAAACCTATAATCAGAGGCAAAAGACGCAATAAGCACCAATTTTCATGTGCGTTGCCCCCTACTGATTTTCGAGTCGAAAAGTTAGCAGGAATGAGATGAGGGCGATTTGTTTTATCACTCCACTTGTATGGGAAATTGGAAATGGCATCATTCAGTTCCATGAGAGAAAAATATTTTTTCTTGATCAAGTTATCAAATGCCAAAGCCAGTTCCACTGGAACAATACCCTCCAGCAGATCATGTAAAACATCTGGAGGGTAACCAGATGTAACATGAAAATGCTCAAGTTTTTCTGACAATGCACACTGTTTTTTTACACCATAACAATGAGGGTGATCTGGACTAGACACAGCTGTCTGTACATGCAGTGTATGTTGATCTTTGGTTCTTTGATGAAAAGACCCAGATCTCACTTCATTGGACTGAAACTTGGATCGCTCCCCAACACAAAACCGGCAGATGTATGACCCTGCAAAGCTTTCGACAAATCCTGCCACAGAGTGCGCCCCCAAATTATCTGCCACCACACTGACCACAGTCCCTTTAATGGCTTTCCCTAACGCTGGAACAAAAAGACCATCTTTCTCCAAGCTTTGGATATCTGTTAACAGTGGCTCTAAAACTCGCTGGAATCCAAACTGCTTGGTGTCTTCAGCCTTACACAGAATTGCAAGGTAGATTGATGTCAATGTGGGACGTAACTGCACCGGAATGTTTCCCAACACCCAATAGACAGCTGTGACTTTGTGCTTTTTTTCGAGATGTCCCAAGAGGATTACATACCTCAAAGTCATCAATGTACAGGATGAGACTCACTCTGTTCTCCTCTACAGAGAAAAACTTGTTTTGATAGTGAGATCCATCACGAAATGTCTGGTACTTAAAGTCATTTTCAGTTTTTTTTTCACCTTCAAATGTGTTTTCTTGAAAAGACTTACTTAGGACCTGCACCAAGGAGGGCAATATTGGGACATACTGGAAGGTTTTGCCCTTTTTTTTATCAAGTATGTGTTCTTCTGGTTCAACAACTGAAAAATGCTTCTTCATAAATTCTCTTCTCTTGTAATAAGTTGTGAAAGGGCCACCTGTCCCCAAGGCAGTACTTATAGGGTGTGTCTCACAAAGATTTTTCACTAAATCTGAGATAATGGCTGGATCCAGATCACAGTTATGGCTTTTCAAGGTGGACACCACCACATCTCTTAAAAGTGGACCAGATGCAGAGGTGGATATAAACTGAAGCTCATCTACCATTTCATCAATGCATTTGTTTGGGACATTGAACATGCTTTCTAACTTTAAAAATAGATGGCCAAATTTCTCTTTTATATCTTGAGACAACTCCTGTGGTTCCCCATCCCAAAGCTCTAAGCTCTCTTCCACATAGGTCTCATCCTGAGCAAACATGGGTTCATTAGGTTTGCTTTTTAATACTTCAGTTTTAAAATCCTCAAGGGTGTGTGACTGGTGTTTTCTGTGTCTATGTGTAGCAAAGGTGGAATAAATATTTGTACTGAAGTTGCAGTCTTTGAAGACACATGCAACTACTTCAAACTTCCTTAAGTGGTTGTTAAGATGCTCAAAATACTGCTTCTCTGAATTAAAAAAAACAGAGCAGCAAAGTAGACAAGTAAATGAAAGAGGTCCACTTTGTGTGACCATCTTCACATGGTGTCGAGACAAATGGGTCTTAAGGGCATTAAATGTTTTAAACGAGCAAGGGCAATCAGTGTGAAGACAAGGGACTGACTGGCTGCGACCACCATTTCCATGCTTTAGTCTGTAGTGTTTTAACAATCCCAACCTCTTCTCTGACTCAAAGCTACATATCTTACACATCCATCTCATGTTGTGGCACCTTAAACAGACAAATTATGTGACAAGTTAAACCTAATCGTTACTAATTTGATCTTACCTTGTGGAGTTCAAATTAGCAGTCAGAAGGTCCTATGTTCTGTAAAAAAAAAAAAAAAAAAAGAAAAAAAAAAGAAAAAAGGTTATCTATATGCTTTTCAACTAATTTCTACTAACTCAAGGATGCACACTGATATTATTATTATTTTTTTTACATATGTTAGTTCGGTGGCAAATTTAAAACAGGTCAATATGAAGACTTGAGTGAAATCGAGTGCGTATATCGTTTTTTGTTTTGTTATTTTTCGTCATGCTCCGAATGCAGAGAAGGTGGCCATATTCACTGATGTCACTCCATTACATTTTACTTGGAAATATCAACTAATTAAGCCAATGAATTGGTTTAGTGAATATTACTTGGATCGAATGATTCAATTTACATACAAAACTGAGGACACATAATTACAAACAATCCTCAAGTAATGCACTACAAGAAAAACTATTTTAAAGTAATAGCACTGAATTTGTATTTTTTTTGTAAAATTTATATAGCTAATTGAAATAATAATTACAGGGCCAAAAAAACATTTTTTTCAGTGTACTGACAAACATTTCATGTTCAACTAAATGAAAAACAATTCGTGGTAACCTGAATATGATTAAAAATAATTAACAACACTTTTTGTAAGGATGTTAAAATCAGACCAACTTTTATTTTCAAACACAACAAAGTATAACAGCCAACATACTGGACACTGTTCTGCTGGACAACAAACAATTATATTGCCATCACTGTTATAATCTTACAATGAAACAAAGTCTCAGATTTAGTTATTCTGAAAATAAGTTTAGGCCTACCACAAGTTTGTTTTGTACTTACATTACTTATATAATCAAAATAAAATATTTGTTGTTCTGTCACAAATGCAGTCTCTAATTTAAACAACACATTTGTTTTGCATTCCAACACATGAGCTGGAATGTTGTAATATTTTAAGGATGGCTTGTTTCCAGTCCAGGCATTACTGCCTGAATGACTATCATGGATCGAGGTGACCCAAATGTAGGTGCAGAAGAAAGTCTTTAACTTCCCTTAAGTACAGTGGCAGTGGATGTGGGTTGGAGATGCAATGAGCTTGAACTTGCAGGCGACCATCTTCACTGACCACACCATCTGTGACGGAGGACTCATCTCTCCTGTTGTCCTGCAAGCAAACAATCATATTTTTTGGAACATGAACTTAATTGCTTTCTTAAAACATTTTTTTCTGCATTTGGTATAAAACAGACTCCAATTTGGACAATCTCAGGCTCCCTCCCCACCGGAGAGGTGATATTCAATGTCCCAATTGTCAATCTGGATAGCCGTGACCACCACCCAACACACAATAATGTCATGAAAGCATCATTTTAATATAAATGTCACTGACAGTTGCTAATATATTGGAAAACCAAAATACTTACCACTGAGTTGATGTCTTTCTGTCCAACAGCAGGAGTGCTGGTCCCGAGCCTCAAAGACAGAAGCAAGCAGAGGGAGAAAAAAACAGAACATTTTTCAGAAACCGATTTGATCCTTAATGGCTGTGCAATCATTGTCACAGAGTTTGCTTATGTTGTTAAATAAAGGCTAGATTTGACATTAATAGATGCCACAGATGTTCAAGGTGCCACAAAGCATGAAAAAAATGGAAGTCTCGGAAAACGTCGGGGCATTTTTGCAAATATGTGATGTCTTGATAAATCGAGCAGATATTTGAACTTTCGACAGCTACATTCTCGCCTGAAAATATCTTAAAAGTTGATTTTGTGACCCAGAAAAGGTAATAAGTTTTTTAGCTGTGCTCCTCCGCCATTGCCGCGCTTACAAGTAGCACAGGCTCCGACAACCGTGGCCGACATATGCGATCCTCCTTTTCCCCAGATTACCCTTTTTGGGTCACAAAATAACCTTTTAAGATATTTTCAGCGGAGAATGTAGCTGTGTAATGCTCAAATATCTACTTAATTTATCAAAATATCACATACTTGCAAAAGTGCTTCCACGTTTTCGGAGAGCTCTGTTATCCACCAGCGCGATAGCTGACCGGGAGGTCAAGGCTTGATAAGAGTCCGCGAGTCCTGGCTTATTGTTTTCAAACCCCCCTCCGAAGAATTTTGTCTGGGCCCTTATCTCACTTTTTTTTATTTCAAACAATCAACAGAAAATTTCACAGACATATTTTTATATAAGGTTTTTAAGGCTGTGGTGTTAATTTTTAAGTAACATGAGCCCAGCCGCAGCAGCAACGCTAGGCTAACACTAACTAGCTAGCTAGCACGATTATAAACCTGGTGCTAAACTAAGAGAAGCCACAAAATCAGTTTGAATAAGAGTAAACATTTACTCACCAAGTCAGTGTATCAGGTAAAGATCCACAGCAATGACAACAATAATCTCTTGAGCTGACGCTTTTCTAGGTTTGCTCAACATATTCCATAAAAAATGCTGGCACCGCAAACATGCGGACTGATCTGTGCGAGGGAGGAGGATGGTAGTGACGTGGCATTTTCAAAACACATCTTTCATCCTTCCGCACTGAGAAGAAAAACTTCCATCTTACTTAGTTTTTCTAAGTTAAGAAAACTCAAATAAATTGAGTTTATCAGCGTTTTTGCATAAAATGTACTGGTAAAACTTATTTAAATCGAGTTCTAATAACAAATTGATAAAAAAAACTGAGTTCAGCCTATTTAATATTTTTAATTAAACACAATATTACATTTTACAGTGTACTTTTAAATCACTATGGAGCACCAGCATTTCTGTAGAGGACAGAACCACCTGCTTTAATCTACCATGATGCTCTGTGTTATGTTGCCATGGCAATATGAAAAAAACTGAGTTCAGCCTATTTAATATTTT